GTCCGGGCTGAATTCCAACCCTTTGTACAGTGAACGACCTGTACAAGTACCTGGGAACGGGTCTCTGAGGAGGAGACCTGTGGAGACCCCCATGTGACTATGCCTTCCTTGACTCCCCTCTGGGTACCTGGCCACATCGGGGCAACCCCAATATGTTCTCTGGGCACCCAACGCCAGCTTGCCCAGCTGTGAAAAAGTGCAAATGAATACATCATGCGACCCCATGGTGAGGGGACTTAACGGTGGATATGGAGGTGTCCATGGGGGTGAGGTGACCTTAGGGGCCAGCTGCTCCAAATCCCTCATTGTGCAGCAGAGACTGAGAACCAGAGAGAAAAAGAAGCTCATTCAAGGTCACACAACAAGCCCCCTTGCCAGCCAGATGGGGGGCCAGCAGTGGACTCCAGATCCAGTGCTCCTCTTGCCGAGCTACCTCCTTATTCAGAGAAGGAAACTGAGACTGGAAGAAGAGGCATGCTGGCCCTGGGAAAACTGGCTACCAGCACTTCCCACCCCTCCCTTGGACTTGCTTTTGCCAAGGGGGACCATTAGCTACTCAGCCTCCAGTCTCAGTCTGTTCATCTGTAAGATGGAGATAATCCTAAAACCTGTCCCTCAGGGAGGCAGAGAAGATTAAATGACATTGGGCACATAAAGTGCTCTGAACAATGTCTGCCACCTGATAAGAGCTGATAACTGTACATGGGTTTTGTTTAGTTGTTTTTGGTTTTGTTTTAGATAGGTTTCATGCCCAGCACGCGACCCAGTGCAGGACTTGAATTCATGACTCTGAGATCAAGACCTGAGCTGAGATCAAGAGTCAGACATGTAACCACAGAGCCACTCAGGCGCCCCAGTTTTGCTTAGTCTTTTGAAGTCTTTCTCCCTGGGAACTTGGCGGCACCCTAGGCAATAGGCGGGTGGAACTCCCCCTTCCCCACCCTCCTGATAGGCTCTCAGGAAGTGGCACTGAACTTCAGGTAATCTGCTGTCCTCAGAGCTTTCATGTGGCCACCTCATCTGAGCTGGGACCCACAGGCATCAGCTCACTCTAAAAAAGGAAAGGGAAGCTGGTTTACATTTAGGGAGGACCCACCATGTGCCAGGCACTAGATATGCAAAGCTCCAAATGACCTGGTTCTTGCTTTCAACTTGCTCAGGATCTAGCAGCAGAGACTGACACAAACCCACACAAAGGGCAAAGTAGTTTATTTTCTCAAAAAATTTCAAACATACACTGAGCAATTTCAGCAGTTATAAGGATTTTTGTCACATTTGCAGGCAAGGGCTGTTTTTAAACTTCTGTGTTCTTCGCTTTTTATTATGGAAATTTTCAAACACACGCAAACCCTCAACTTCCCACTGTCCTTGTTTCATCCATTCCCCCCCCATACCCACAATTCCTTTTTTCTGGAGTTTTTTAAGGCAAATTCTGGACATAAGTGCCAATTCACTTGTAAACACATCAGGATGGATCTCCACAGATAAGGACTTTTTTTTTTTTAAAGTAATCTCTATCCCTCAACGTGAGGCTTGACCCTGAGATCAAGAGTCACAGGCTCTACAGACTGAGATAATCAGGTGCCCCAACCGAGAAAGACTTTTAAATTATAAGCATAACCACTATACCATTATCACACCCAACAAGGTTAACAATAATTCCTTAATACCATCTAATACCCAGTCTGTTCATTTTTGCTAGAAAGCATTTTGGTGGGAGTTGCAGAGGCTGTATTAGAGGGGACTGCTGATTGAGTATCAGGGACAAAGCCAGGTGCTGGTCACACTGCCTTCACGCCATTAAGGCTCAGCCCACAAGGCCCGGGAGCTCTCGAGTCCATATGGAGGCTGAGAGGAAATTAATTCTCTCACGTGATAGGCAATCTGAACCCAACTTGAACCTGGAGAAGAATCTCCTGGAAGGAAATGGCTTCCCCAACTCAGAGAGGCTGCTACTCTGGGAGTGTCAGGAGTTGGCTGGGAATGACCCTACTCTGTCACCCCCAGGCCGAGCCCGTGAACTCCTCATGCCCAGGACTGATGTGCGTCTTCCAGAGCTACTCGTCCACGGGCTTGGTTCAACGTTCTCTCTTCAACTTGCAAATCTATGGGGTCCTGGGGCTATTCTGGACCCTCAACTGGGTACTGGCCCTGGGCCAGTGTGTCCTGGCTGGGGCCTTTGCCTCCTTCTACTGGGCCTTCCACAAGCCTCGGGACATCCCCACCTTCCCCCTGACCTCTGCCTTCATCCGCACACTCCGGTAAGCCTGGGGCAGGGGGCTGGACATTGTGAGCGTGGGAGTCCAGGGGTCCTGGAGCTGCCTCTGACTACCTAAGCCCTCTGCAGGTACCACACTGGGTCGCTGGCCTTTGGAAGCCTCATCCTGACCCTTGTGCAGATAGCCCGGGTCGTTTTGGAGTACATTGACAACAAACTGAGAGGTGAGCAGGTAGCCCCTTGGGGAGTGCCTGTCAGGGGCCAGTGACCGAATATAAGCATCCCCTTACTCCCAGGAGCCCAGAACCCTGCGGCCCGCTGCATCATGTGCTGCTTTAAGTGCTGCCTTTGGTGCCTGGAGAAGTTTATCAAGTTCCTAAACCGCAACGCCTACATCATGGTGAGCCTTCCTGCACAAGCAGCCCCTAGCTCTGGGGTCCCTTGGCCCAGGCCCCTGCCCCGGCCCAAGTACGCTGCACACAGATAACTCTCACCTTTTGACCTCACTCAGATTGCCATCTACGGGAAGAATTTCTGCGTCTCAGCCAAAAATGCCTTCATGCTGCTCATGCGGAACATTGTCAGGTCAGGCTGTCCCCCACCCCTGTGATCTCCCAACCAAGGCCGGGTTCTTAGGCAGCGCTCAGAGGGCCTCGAGCTTGGCTTAACGCTCCATTGCCTCCATCTTCAAATGTGCCCAATTTTCTTCATTTTACATTTGCCACAGTCACTTATATAGCCAGTCCTGTTCCTAGCTCTGCCAGCACCCTCATGCCCGACCCACCCCAACTTCCCATACAGGGTGGTCGTTCTGGACAAAGTTACAGACTTGCTGCTGTTCTTCGGGAAGCTGTTGGTGGTTGGAGGTGTTGGTAAGGGCCAGGACTGGGAGTTACGGGCACCAAGGGCAGGGGCACAGGGCAGCCGAACAGGTGACCTCAGAGGAGTGATGACACTGACCTCCAGACCTCTCGCACAGGGGTCCTGTCCTTCTTTTTTTTCACCGGTCGCATCCAGGGGCTGGGAACAAACTTTGAGAGTCCCTCCCTCAACTATTACTGGCTGCCCATCATGGTGAGTAGACTCCCTGGCTCTGCCTTGCAGTCCAGCACACCCTGCCCCCCCCCCCCCCCCCCCCCGCCAAGGAACTCTAAAATGTCCTGTGTCTTCCAGGTCTCCATCCTGGGGGCCTACGTCATTGCCAATGGCTTCTTCAGTGTTTTTGGCATGTGTGTGGACACACTCTTTCTCTGTTTCTGTGAGTAGACATCCTCTACCACTTCCCCCAGATTTCAAGGTACCAAACTGTTTAGGGTTTTTTGTGTTTTTTTTTTGGAGACCTGGTGCTTCTAGAAACAGCAACTTTGCGAGTTAAAGGAGCCAAAGCCAGAGGAAGCCTCTTCTGCCATCCTCAAGCCAGGGGTTTGGGGAAGAAAGGAGGAAGTGAACTGCCAGGCTGGCAGGGTCTCCCAAGAAAGAACATTCCAGGGGAGAGGCCTCTGGTACCCTTCCCTAGAAAATCGAAGGTAGAAGTTAGTCACAAGAAACTTCCCAGCAGATGGCTGTAGTGAGTGCAGATTTTCTTTCCCTCCTATACACAGTTGACCCTTAAGCAACCTGGGTTTGAATTTCACAGGTCACCTTAAGTGTGGATTTTTTTCAGTAAGCACAGTACAATACTGTAAATGTATTTTCACTTTCTTAGGATTTTCTTAACATTTTCCCCCTGTCTTATTTTATTGTAAGAATACAGTATACAGTACATATAACACACAATATATGTGCTAATTGTTTACATTGTCAGTATAGCTTTGAATCAACGGTAGGCTATTATATTTGGGGGGAATCAAAAGTCATAGGTGGATTGTTGATTGCACGGAGGTCAGCGCCCCTTGGCCCCTCTGTCGCTCAAGGGCCAACTCTACACTCGTTCAAGGTTTATGTAGTACCTACCGCAATCTGCAATAAGCTATTGACATGCATTTTTTATATTAAGCCTTACCATGCTATGAAATATTATTGATCACAATTTACCGATGAGAAACAGATTATACAACCTACCCAGTAGGTTACAAAACCTGACCGAAAAGAACAGCCCGTGGCGTTGTTGCCTGAAACCAGGCAGCTTCTTGTTGTCTTCCCCGATTTTCCCGGGGAGTGGGGTGGCCCCCGAGGGTCCTTTCTAACGGTCTGTGTTGCGGCTCAGTGGAAGACCTGGAGAGGAACGACGGCTCCCTGGACCGGCCCTACTATATGCCCAAAGCCCTTCTGAAGATTCTCGGCAAGAAGAACGAGGCGCTTCCGGGGGACAAGAAGAGGAAGAAATGAAAGATGCGGCCCTGATCCCCTCCTGTACAGTCTCCCAGCCTCACCCCGCCTTCCAGATCTCAATTTTGTAGTTTAAAAAAATTTATTAAAGGTTGATGTTTTGTTTTCTCAAAAAGTCTGAGACTTTTATCCCATCCATGACATGCAGTCCTTTTTGTCTTTTTTCGCCACAAGTTCTTTAAAATAGGTTCCGCCCCCATGACGCGCCCCAGGAGCCATGGCCAATCAAAAGGCTCCTGAGGAATGATGCCGGCCCCCTTCTTCATCCCAGCCAGTAAGCTTCCAGTCAGGGTCACATGCTCCGGGACTTCAGAAAGAGCCAATTGGAAGGTCCAACTCCAAGGCGCTAAATGGTCATATGAGGAGTCAGAGTGAGGAGTCAGCCAATTAAAATCGCAGAAGTGCGGCAGGAGGCCCGACTCTGGACTGGGGGGGGGAGGGGGTGGAATAGCTAGTGTTTAAAGGGCCCGGTCAGCTGACAGACTCCTGCCGGCGTCTACCCTTGGGGGCCTGGTTCTGGCTACCTGGGGAGAGATGATGGCGTACCGAACCGGCCAAGTGCTCCAGGGCAGACCCGGGGGATCGCAGAATCCGGGGTTCTGGGGAGGCTGTAGAGTTCAGGTATTTGCCGCGATCTTCCTGCTGCTGTTGTCTCCGGCAGAATTTGGGGCTAGGGCAGAGAACGACTTCAGTCTGGTGAGTCGCCCCTCGTATATCCCCATCGCCAACCCACGCGGGTGGTCTGTACCCAGCGTCCCCCGGGACGCGGGTTGCTGAGACCCGTCTTTTCGAGGGACTCTCCCGCCGTTCTCGGACTCCGTTCCCTCCATCCACTTCCAACCCCTCTTCCTCCTCGGGCCCTTGTCCTCCTGTCCTCCCGAGCCTCTTCATTCGAGCTCCTTCACCTTTGGGAGGTCCTCCAGCCCCACGCTCTCAGAAGGCCCCTTCTTCCCTCAGACCCCTTTTCCCTCTCCGAGCCCCCAGCTTTGTTTCAAACTCTCCTCAGTTTCCCCTTTCTTATTCTAGGACACACACACCCCCCAACTCTGATCCCCAACACTCTGCCTTTCCCAGGGACGCTCGACTCCGAGCCACTATTCAACCGTCCTAAAACTTGAAGTCAAATTTGTCCGTGTTGACCCTTCCTCCTCCCTTCGCAGGTTCAGCCGCTGGTGACCATGGAGCAGCTGCTGTGGGTGAGCGGGAGGCAGATCGGTTCTGTGGATACCTACCGAATTCCCCTCATCACAGCTACTCCTCAGGGCACTCTCCTTGCCTTCGCTGAGGCCAGAAAAATGTCCACATCGGATGAGGGAGCTAAGTTCATTGCTCTTCGCAGGTCCTTGGACCAAGGTATAAAGATGCCTGAGTGGTAGATGCTGGTGTTAGGCTGGATGGGTAGGGAGCCTGACCTGCCCAAGGGCTCTAAGGATAGGACCATGGGAGGGCTGGAGGCCTGGGTCCCTGAAGAGACTTAAGGAGGAAAGCTGTACAGAGCAGTGATCTAGAAATTATAATCAGCTAGGGTTGAACATTGAAAATTTATTGAGCACCTGCTATATACCAGGCACTGTTCTAGGTCTGTGAATATGGTTGTGAACAAAGCAGACCAAATATCCCTGTCCTCATGGGGCTTATATTGTCTGTGGGGAGACAGACAATAAGCGTAATAAATAGGTGAGTTTATTTTTTATATTAGAAAGGGATAAATATAATGGAGAAAAATAAAGCAGGATGTTGGATATTGGTGGCAACTTTAAATAGGTGACTTTTGAGTAAAGGAGTTGAGAGTAACCCTGAGGAAGAGTGTACCAGGCAGATGTCACAAGTTTGTGACTTTTCTCCAGGAGAAAACTACTTGAGGAATGGGGAGGAGCTTGTGGGACAGGATGGAGTGAACAACGGTAGAATAGATAAGGTCAGAGAGGTAAGGCTGCAGGGCAGGGGGGTGGAAGGGCAGGTTTTGTAGGGCTCTACAGCCACTCTAAGGCCTTGGGGCCCTAGCAAGAGGTGGAAATTAACAGGGAGAGGTAGAAAGGGCACCTTCAGAGTGCTCACCCTGGATTTCTTCTCTTTTTTCTTTAGGCAGCACATGGTCTCCTACAGCCTTCATTGTAGATGATGGGGACACCCCGGATGGGCTGAACCTGGGGGCAGTGGTGAGCGATATGGAGACAGGAGTGGTGTTTCTTTTCTATTCCCTCTGTGCTCACAAGGCTGGCTGCCAGGTGGCCTCCACTATGTTGGTGTGGAGCAAAGATGACGGTGTGTCCTGGAGCCCTCCCCGGAACCTCTCCTTGGATATTGGCACCGAGATGTTTGCCCCCGGACCAGGCTCAGGCATTCAGGTCTCTATCCTGAGATGGGTGGTGGGGACTGCCTTTTGGAGAGTCTGGAAGATGCCCCCAATGGGACTTCTTCCCAGGGAGAAGGACTTATGAAGTCAGATTTTCTCTTAGATGGGATTCCTTGAAAGAAAGGGACATCCTGGGAGGAACCCCCTCCTGAGGGAAGATGGATCTTTGCCATTGTCTTCCCATTTGGGGGTCATACATAGCTTGGTGAGTGAGCACACCAAGCATGGGTTAAAGCTCCCATGCACTTCTGTGGCTGGAACCCCCTGTCTGATGTCCTAAAGGAGCTTATTCTGCAAGAGTTTCTTAATTCAGGCAGTAGGTACTTATGGGATCCTCAGTAGCAAAGACAGAACTGAAGAGGACCAGATGTGTTCTCACGCTAGAAGGTGATGGGTTCCCCTTCCCTGCCTGTGAGCCTCTTCAGTGTCTCCCTCAGTGACACCCAGCTTCCTTTCCCACAGAAACAGCGGGAGCCGCGGAAGGGCCGCCTCATCGTGTGTGGCCATGGAACACTGGAGCAGGACGGGGTCTTCTGCCTCCTCAGTGATGATCATGGTGCCACCTGGCGCTATGGCAGTGGGGTCAGCGGCATCCCCTATGGCCAGCCCAAGCGGGAAAACGATTTCAACCCTGATGAGTGCCAGGTGAGGAGTCCATGGGCTATTCCCCACCCACTCCACCTCCCCTGTCCTCCAGAGCACCATTTCACTCACAGACCCAGGATCTGCCCGCCCACCTTTGTGCAACCTGGCCTGCTTCCTCAGGGACAGGGCCCTTTGCCCTGCCCCCTCCCTGGGTCTTCATGAAGCCATTTTCTATCTCTTCAGCCCTATGAGCTCCCAGATGGCTCAGTCGTCATCAACGCCCGGAACCAGAACAACTACCACTGCCGTTGCCGAATTGTCCTCCGCAGCTACGATGCCTGTGACACCATACGGCCCCGTGATGTGACCTTCGACCCTGAGCTTGTGGACCCTGTGGTAGCTGCAGGAGCTGTAGCCACCAGCTCCGGTATTGTCTTCTTCACCAATCCAGCCCATCCGGAGTTCCGTGAGTGTCTGCTGGGCGAGGTCGTCGGGGGAGCCCCTTTTATCTAGAGAAGGCGTGACCAGAGACCCCCCCTTTTTCTGACTCTGCTGCCTTCCCCAGGAGTGAACCTGACCCTGCGCTGGAGCTTCAGCAACGGTACCTCATGGCAGAAAGAGACGGTCCAGCTGTGGCCAGGCCCCAGTGGCTACTCCTCACTGGCAGCCCTGGAGGGCAGTGTGGGCGGGAAGGACCAGGCCCCCCAGCTCTACGTCCTGTATGAGAAAGGCCGGAATCAGTACACAGAGAGCATCTCACTGGCCAAAGTCAGCGTGTATGGGACGCTCTGAGCTGTACACCTGCCACCAGAGTAGAAGGCCCTGGACTCAGCCTTCAGGACTGTGGGCCCTCAGAGGCTAGAGGTGCCTAAAAGACAGTTCCACCTGCCCGTAGACTCTAGCCTTTTGCAAAATCAATTTCTCTTTGACAGGGAAGTCACTCTGTTAGGACTACAAGCCTGGCTGCTTCCACACAGGGAGTCCTGCCCTCACTTGGGAGCGTATCCCTTCCCCATCATTGCTGGGCCTGGCCCCCTTCTGTTCCTGGGGCAATGATTGGTCCTTTTCGTAGGTGGGGTTAGGTAGGCCTGTGGAATTGAATATATTTGGACTCAGGGAAATGGGGAAGGCTGAGCTTCCTCTTTAGGGTAAGATACTGTGGAGCAGGTTGGCGAAAGTACTGTAAGGGCAATATTTGGATTCAGGGTAAAGAACTAGGTGTACCACCCACCTAGACTATTTATAAATTGAACTATTTGTAACTTAACGTTTTTAATGAAGGAGAATGAGCACTTGCAGTGTCTCTGTGGTTCTGTCCATGCGCATGTGCGTTCTTCATGTACACCTGTAGGAGGCTGGGAGTGAGCTCTGGGGAAGAAGCTGCTGTTGCCCATGACAGTCACACTTTGGCAAATTAAGTCCTCCTTTCCCTTTCACATTCTTCCTCATCACAGAAAAGCGGATTCATCTTCATAGGTGTAATGAGGAGTAGCAGGGGGAGCCCCACAAGATATTAAACAGTCTGCTCTGTTTCATATCTGAGACGGAGTTGGACAGTGTCTTCTACGAAGTCAGGGGGCAGGTGTGTAAAATGCAGATGGAGAGCCTCTCCCAGGCCACCCCTGCAGAGAAATAAGCATTGTGACAATTTACGTGAGAAAACAGCACCATCCTCAGGCAGATGCTATTAAAAGAACAGATGAGTGGAAGAGCCATACCTTTACCCCATATGGAAAGAAAATACAATGCCTACATGAGCACTGGTGGTCTGAATCTCAAAGACTCAGGGGGCGCCTGGGTGGCTCAATTGGTTAAGCAGCCTGACTCTTGGTTTCAGCTCAGATCATGATCTCACGGTTCATGGGTTCAAGCCTCTATGCTGACAATGCGGAGCCTGCCTGGGATTCTTCTCTCCTCTCTCTGTCCCTCCCCTGTTCATGTTCTCTCTTGCGCTCGCTCTCTCTCTCTCTCTCTCTCTCTCTCTCTCTCTCTCTCGCAAAAAAAAAAAAAAAGATTCTCACTTTCCCTCTGCTCCTCCCCCCGCAATAAAAATTTTAAAAAATAAAAGAATGTCAAAGATTGAAGAATAAGGGCCACACTGACATACAGTTGCAGTTTATTTTGCTTTCAACTTCCTTTTCTAAGAAATGTTAGGGTAATGCATTCCATCAGAAAAAATGGAATAATCTCCCTGTATAGGAGGATATGGTATGATTTAATTTTGTTATATTTTATCCAGAATTTATCAATAATTTAATACTTTAGTTTTTCACTTACATTTTTAAAAACAAAGATAGAGAAAATGGGTTAATGAACCCCATGTGCATCCTATGTATCCAATGTTTGCTTCTTATTCTTTTTTATTTTGTTGAATTTTTTTTTTTTTTTTGAGAGAGTATGAACAAGGGGAGGGGCAGAGAAAGAGAGGTAGAGAGAAATCCCAAGCAGGCTCTACACTGTCAATGCAGAGCCTGACACAGAGCTTAATCCCATGAACTGTTGAGATCATGACCTGAGCCAAACCAAGAGTTAAATACTTAAGCAACTGAGCCACCCAGGCAACCTCCCTTTGTTGAAATATTTTGAAGCAAATACCAGACCTTGTGATATTCACCCCTACCTTGTTCCGTTTTTTTTTTTTTGGTTTGGTTTGGTTTGGTTTTTTAGAGAGGTAGAGTGCACACATGAGCAGAGGAGAGTGGCAGAGAGAGAATTTTTTTTTTTTTTTTTACTTTTTAGCAGTATTTCCCTTTTTTAATTTATTTAAATTTGCATCCAAGTTAGTTAGCATATATATAGTGCAACAATGACTTCAGGAGTAGATTCCTTGCCCATTTAGCCCATCCCCCCTCCCACAACCCCTCCAGTAACCTTCTGTTTGTTCTCCATATTTAAGAGTCTCTTATGTTTTGTCCCTCTCCCTGTTTTTATATTATTTTTGCTTCCCTTCCTTTATGTTCATCTGTTCTGTAGAGAGAAGAAGAATCTTAAGCAGGCTCCACACTCAGCTAGTTGTCCAACAAGGAGCTCCATCCCATGATCCTGAAATATAACCAGAGCTGAAATAAAGAGTCAAACCCTCAACTGAGCCACCCAAGTGCTTCCACCCCTACATTCTTAAGTGTGCATCCCATCCTTTAAAATGGAACACTTTATTATGTAACCATAATGTCATCGCATACTCATAACATTAACAATAACTCTGGTATCATCTAATACCCAATGTGCAAATTTCATCAAATGTCTCAACAATGTCTTATTTATAGTTCTTTGTTCAAATCAGGATCCAGGGATGCCTGGGTGGCTCAGTTGGTTGAGCAGCTGATTTCAGCTCAGGTCATGATCTCACATTTTGTGAGTTAGAGGCCCACATAGGGTTCTGTGCCAACAGCTCAGAGCCTGGAGCCTGCTTCAGATTCTGTGTCTCCCTTTCTCTCTCTGCCCCTCCCCAGCTCAAGCTCACACACTCTCTCTCAAACATAAATAAACTTAAAAAAAAAAAAAAAAGATTCTCTCTCTGCACCCACCCCTGCTCATTCTCTCTCAAAAAAAACAAAAAACAAAAAACAAAAAAAACACCTAAATCAGGATCCAAAGAAAATCTACACATTTCCATTTGTTTTAAGTTTATTTATTTATGTTTGAGAGAGAGCAAGCAGGGGAGGGACAGAGAGAGAGCAAGAGAAAACCACGCAGGCTCTGCACTGCAGCGCAGAGCCAGATGCGGGGCTTGAACCCACAAAGATCATGAGCTGAGCTGAAATCAAGAGTCAGATGCTTAACCGACTGAGCCACCCAGGCGCCTGAAAACCTGTACATTTAATTTTGATGTCTCTTAAGCCTAGGTTAATCTACAGTCCCACTTCTCCTCTTTCTTCTTCTTGATACCATCTATGCAGAAATCAACGCATTCGTCCTATAGAAAGTTCCACTCTGATTTGTCAGTTTGCTTCCTCAGAGTGTCACTTAACTCCTTCCTCTAGCTTTCACATTTCCAATGATCAAACCTGAAGATTTGGCTTCCCATTCCATTTGGGGGGTGGGGGCAGTGGGAGAAGATCGCTTCACAGGTACTGTGTGCTTCCTGTTGCATGTCCTCAGGGGGCAAGTACTGTCTGCTCCTCCCTCTCTGAGTAAAGCTGAGGTTGAGCACTGGGTTCAGATGGCCACAGTCTAACCCCTCCTTTGTTAAGTTTCCCCCATCAACCTTCCAACTGACAATTTCATTCACAGATGGGTTTTGCCTGAATCAGTTATTTTGTGGGATTGTGAAATGTTTTTTAAATTCTATTATTTCTACCCCATCTATTACCTGGAATTCTTCGATAAAAAAAGAGCTGTCTCTCATCAAGGCTGTTGGGCTACCCTGAAGCATGCTTTGTAAGGAAAGGCAGGATAAAAGCTTAATTTCCCCCCTTTTCCTTGCCAGTTCTGAGTAAAGTGATGTAATACTTTGCCTTGGCCAGTAAACCACACTGTTACCAACGACACAGGAGACATACAGAGGAAGACTCTATGGCCAGCAGCAGGAGGCAGGGGAATCTGAGGGAAGAAAGAAGAGAGAATCCCAGGCAGCGTGGTTGCCGGGCTCTGCTTTTCTTTCCTTTTTTTTTTTTTTTTTATGTTTATTTTTTATTTTAGGGGAGAGAGAGACAAGGTATGAGCAGGGGTTGGGCAGTAAGAGAGGAAGACACAGAATCCGAAACAGGCTCCAGACTCTGAGCTGTCAGAATGCACAAACCGCGAGATCATGACCTGATCTTAACCTCCTAATAGTCTAACCTACTGAGACACCCAGGCGCCCCTGAGCTCTGCTTTTCTTTAAAATTTTTTTAAATGTTTATTTATTTTTGAGAGAGAGTGCAAATGGGAGAGGGGCAGAGAAACAGGGAGATACAGAATCCAAAGCAGGCTCCAGGCTCTGAGCTGTCAGCACAGAGCCCAAAGCAGGGCTAGAACCCTGAGCTGAAGTCAGACGCTTAACCAACTGAGCCACTCACGTGCCCCCAGCCTCTGCTTTTCTAATGTAGATCAGAAAATAGGTAAGACATTGGAAGAATAAAGGGGGGGGGGGTGGCATCTGCCACAGTTGGGACATCTGCTGTCCAATACCACTAAAAATTGCACATCTGACAAAGTCTTGGTAACAATTTTATTAAAAATGCTGGAAGAAAGAAAGGAGGTGATGCCTTGAAGGTCTGACTCATGAGCTATTGTGTCATGAAGTAGACATGGCAGAAGTCTTATGAAGAGCGACTGAGTTCCTTCTTAGCCAAGAACCCTCGTCTGAGAGAGGATCCTCCCCAGGAGGGTGTGGGACAGAGCCCTGGGCCCCACTCCAGACCTGCAGATTTAGTATTCTAGTAACAGTCTGGGACCTCGCATTTTAACAGGAACTGCAGGAGACGCTGATGCTGGGATCTTTGGACTGCACTTTGGGAAACTTTCTCTTAGACATTTAGCGTAGATTTAGGAAGAATAGACTTCAAAACACTGTAGAAAAGATCTCAAAAGAGAAACTAATTAGGAAGAATTTATGTCTGAAGAAACCAATAACCCTTAAAGCTGTCAGGGACCAAAGCTGCCTGTTTACCCAAGCATCTTTTTTTTTTTTTTTTAAGTTTTATTTACTTAATTAATCTCTACAGCCAACATGGAGCTCGAATTCACGACCCCAAGATCAAGGTTCTATTGACTGAGCCAGCCAGGCACCCCAAGCCAAGCATCTTGAATGCCCGCCACAGTAGCTGGCACATGGTGGGTGCCTCATACAGGAGGTAAGACAAATCTAGGATGGGTAAGGAGCTAGTGTGGTGCCAGATGGGCATCTGCACTCCTTGGGAACATGTTAGAAATGCTTGACCACCCTCTTGTCTGGAACCCCAAAGCCACCACACCAAGACCTACAGAGCAAGAAGTTCTGGGAGTGGGGCCCAATAATCAGTGTGTTAACCTTCAGGGGACTTATGCACATTCAAGTTTGAAAACCAGGATTAGATGGGGCGCCTGGGTGGCTTAGTCGGCTAAGCGTCCGACTTTTGCTTAGGTCATGATCTTGCGGTTCATGGGTTCGAGCCCCATGTCAGGTTCTGTGCTGACAGCCAGCTCAGAGCCTGGAGCCTGTTTCAGAGTCTGTGACTCCCTCTCTCTCTGACCCTCCCCTGCTCACGCTGTCTCTCTCTCTCTCTCTTCTAGAAATAAATAAAACATTAAAAAAAAAGAAGAAGAAAACCAGGATTAGAACAAATGTCAAGGGTGCAGAAAGAGCTGAAGAACTTTTTGTTGGGTTTTTTTTTTT